GCCATGTTTTAGTTTGACCGCCGCTAGCTCTTTTCCAGCCCGACCCTATGACAGCTAACATTGCCCGTCAACGAAGGCGATGACTAGGCGTACGTAACACATATCCTAACCATCTCAGTCAATGTAGCTTCACAGACTCGTCGATTGAATTCCCCTCCTTACCTAGCAATTGACTGACGCCTAACCTCAATATTGCTCACCTTATTATACCACTTGACACGGGAGATAGAACTCAGGCACCTATGATCAAAGACAGCTAATCTTTTCATGTCTTCCCCTGTCAATGGCCAGGTCTCACAGCCATAAACGAGGGCGGAGCGGACTGATGAGCAGTACACACGCCGTTTGGTCGATAGTCGGATATCACGTCTACGCCAAGCTAACACCGACTAGCAGGAAGAATACTAACGTGGAGAAGCACGAGGAAAAAACGGACACGGGAAGTTACAAAGTGTAAACGCGTCTGCGCTACTGAGAACAACTGCTAGTAGTCTCGAGTCATTGGTTCTAAGCAACCCGAGGCAGACAGTTTGAACCACCCCAAGGGTCTAACTTAAACTAGCAGACAAAAACTTCACGCAATAATGTCCTAAATTATATGTACTAGTCACCATATTGTACCACCTAAAACGAGAGGTAGAACGCAAACATCTTTACTTGAAGACATATGTTACGATAAACTTCGTGTTTGATGAAGCCAAAACACCACTTTGACGGAAATCACAGGAATGTTATGCAACTCATATACACCTTGTCTTCAAGATAATGTGTAGCACAATTCCATAACCAATCTAAAAGTGACAAGCTATCTAAGAATGTTCAACCTAAAACATTTGTATTTACTAACCATAATTTGCTATAACTCGACATTCCAGTATATTGCTAACAACGCAAGATCTTTATGACTGACTGATTGCTTTCAACGTAGAACTTTGCACAGATGTGCAGCATCTATGGCTCAGTAGACGCGATTTCCGACTGTCAAATAAAGGGAGTGTGTACTGATCAGTACTTCGCTCTGTCCTCATTTATGGCTGTAAGAGACATGGCCACTGAAAGTAGAAGTCATGTAAAGCCTGATTGGCTGTCTTTGATCATAGGTGCCTGTGTTTTATCTCCCGTGTGTGTTAGATAGTATAATAGGGTGAGCAATATTGAGGTTAGGCCTCAGTCGAGTGCTAGGTAGGGAAGGGAAATCAATCGACGAAGTTGTGAAGTGAGATTACATGGATTAAGAGATATGGTTAGGACATGTGTTACACAGGCCTAGCCTAACCATCGATCGCCTCCCTCGACAACGGGCGGTATAAGCCGATATAGGATTGGTCAGGTTGGGAAAGTTGGCCAATGGCGGTTAAACCAATGAAATCCACAACAGTTAGTTTAAGCTAATCAGTCAGACACGTAGGGAGGTGTAGACTTCCTGATTGGGAGGTTGGGGTCTTCGAGATGGTGAGTAGCAATGGCGGCGGCTGAAGACAATTGATGATATGGCTGAAAATCGTTCCCAATGACAGCGCAGATGCATTTACTCTTTGTGATTTATCATATCCAATAAAACTCGATTGTTCTCCCATATAACTTTTCTTTTTACCTCATATTCCTGTTTATAATCTCTCTTGTCTTGATTTTTTTTGCTACATGGAAGGAGTGTGGCAACTCGAACTGCAGTACATCTGTGCAAAGTTCTACGTTGAAACCAGTCAGTCAAAATTTGTCAAAGGGTGAAGTTATGATCAACACACCCTCTTCTTAGTCTAAAGTCTGCCTGGTTCTCTCGTATTTTTTCCTCCCGAGCACAAGATCGTTATGTTAACTCTCGAGATGAATGGAACCAAACATAACAAACAGGTCCATGACTTACAACATCTGCGGTGGAAAAAAAATATCGAAAATAAAGGCAACAGTGGCCCAAATCAACGACTTTAAAGTAGCCAGCCAGTTAAAATTAATTTAGGAAAATTGCACGTTTTTTAATCGCCAAACACCTATGCCTCATGAGTATTTAACAGCTAGCACTAAGCTTACCAAAATAAAAAGCCTTGGTGCATCGAAAAAGGATACCCAAAATTTATGCTTTCAACTAGACAGACAATCATCTCATCGTGGACAAAATCAATCATACAGCACTGTCTACTTATCATGAAAATGTCTGCAATCAAAACCAAACATAATCAAAACATTTACTCCATGTTTTAATTCTCATTGAGCTATACAAATCGATACTAGAGCCGGGGCACAATGCGAGGTTTGCTTATAGATTGGAAGCTTGTTTTCAAAACTGTTGTATTGTTGGGTACAGCATTTAAAAAGTTTCATGTGAATGGTTCGCAGCATATCGCGCGATTTTAAAAGTTTGGGGGTAGGGGGTGAGGAGGGAAACAAAGATGATGATGAAGATGAAGAGAAAAAGGAGAAGTTTTCAAGCACCAATAAAAAAGGAACCAAACATGATACAATACAAGTGAACATTTTTGAAATTATTTTTATTTCCTTGCAGGGTTATTTATTATTTCAGACATACTAAAACACCCAAAGTAGGCATGAAGTAAATTTTGTTCAACTGAGAGAGAGAGAAAAGTCATTCTCTATTCCAAACGACTTTTCTCATCAAAATCTTCAACGAGCTCGGGTACATCATCATCTCCATCCTCGGCTTTTGAGTCTGCTGCCTTTGCACCTTCTGTAAAAGAAAAAAGGGAGATAGTTGGAAAAAACAATGTAGCATAAATAACCAGTCAAACACATAAAGATGTTCAGAGGTGTTGTAAGAAAGCTGTGAAAATCATCCACAACTATCTATGATGAAGTCTTATCCAAAAAATCTACTGAACACAATTATTGCTTGGTTATTGCGAAGGCAGTATAATACTGAGTGTTGGCGCAATGTCAAATTAAACCAGAGCACTGATGTAATGCACAGCTGATTTCAAAATCATTTACAGTACATGACAATTTTGATAAAAGTTTATAATACTCATTCACATTCACATTTGAAGTCTTTTTGCATCTCCAACAAATGGGTTAAATCAATAGAAGGAAATCTACGAGCAGCCTGGTTTGAGATGCAAATACTTCCCCCTTAAAATGCATAACGATGAGGCTGAAACTTCTTATTAATGACATTCAAGTTTGTTTAAATCTAGGTATGTTACAACTGTCCAAAATACAATTTTTGTCATCTTTCGCTATTTCCACTCTTGATCAAGTAGATTACACACTCACTGATCTTCAAGAGCTAACTTCAGATGACTGACTACATAATGTCAAGAAATTTAGTTTGATTAAGGCATGACTAACATATTGTGCTGACTTTGCCCAGTACGTATATTGTTTGCTGTATTATCATCGATAAATATATAAAAGGAGAGGGAGGGAAAGTATGCTTTGTAAAATATTGATTCATATTCGAAGCACCACAAATACCTTATTTTTTTAGATTAAATTATAAAAGAATCGATCATGCATACTCAAAATGTTTTTATTGCATTTTTTTGTCACGAACGAATCAGCCAAAACAACTAGGCGACAGCGAAAACTGTTTACTTGCGAAATCGCTAGCGAGGATATCAATGGTTCTCACAAGTGAAGATCTTACAGCTTCACTTCTTTAACTGGACCATAATGACTGTTCAGAATCCTACCAACTACATATACATATATTGATGCACTTGAAATCTAGTCTCATTCGTGAGCGATGGCTGATGATACAAGTATATTGACAGAGGTTGACATCTATGAGTCAGTGATTAGAGACCCAATTGCTCAACACAATAAGCTATAATATCAATTTGAGAAGCACCTCAATATGCTAAGCCGATCTCACCCCTCCAGTACCAGGTGAACGTGCCGTCAGTAGCGCAATAAGTAGTGAAGTACTGCTTAGGTTAGATTTCAAGAGATTGCACTGGAATGTGAGGTGGGTTTCCAGATGAAGTAAGGCTGAGATACTGACAATGACGAGGTAACAAAGTGGAGTTTTAATTGTCAAAATAACAGTTCTGTGCAACACCAATGCTGTTTTAGTAGAAATATTTGGCGCAGGAACCTTCAATGCATTATTAGCATCACAAATCTATGTCGTTTAGCATTTAACACCTTGAACTCGCCTGTATCCGAAAAAACAACTATCAGATCTCCCATGCTAACATCAAAGTGATGGAGGTCTTGGGCTTGTTACGCCACAAGTGGCGAATTAAGTAGTTACCATACACTTATTTTGGGTGATCGAGTTTTAGTCTGGGTCCCTGACAGTATAACGTGTAGTCACAGCTTCATGTATATTTGAGGACATATTACCTATCCTCATTCCCCAGTTAATTACCTGCATATTAACTCAAAATATACCGAGTTTCGGCACTGGAAGAATCGCCACGCTTAAACCCACACCCACAGGAAAACTAAGCAATGAGTGGGGAAGGACCGCAGGAAATGAAAACTTCAAAGCAAGTATGATCTCACTGTGAATAAATGGAGGTCAGATCCAATCAAGCTTACACTTGTCCACTGACTATATCACAGACGTAGGTAATCTAGATTGCAGTATCAGTCCACTGAGTAATAATGCATCGGAATTCACTTCTGGGACAAGTGGTGGTACTTTACCAGGTAAACACACTTAAAGGACTTGATACACAGACATAGTTGCTACGGCAGTTAGTGGTCTGGTCCACTACTCATAAAACAAGCAAGGATTCAAAGGGACTGGGAATACCCAAGATGTATGGCAGACCACACAACAACAAGTTGTAACACGAATAGAATTTTCCAAGGCAGCAGAATTAACTAATTAATTACTTAATTAGATCCAACTATCACAGCACTCGCTTAACGACATAACAGCCAAAGATTAAGATGAATAGGCATAAACTAGGGACTTCCCCCAGCAACTGCATCCTACTTATTAAAGACTCATAAGCTGTCTTGATGTAAACTTGAGTCAGCATTAAAACTACATAAAATGCATCAACAGTCCTCAAAGCTGAAAAAAGCAAACTTACCACTCAGTTTAGATAGGCGTAGCTTTGCATTCTCCCACTGGTTTAACATATTTGGGAATAAATCATTCAGTGCTAAAAGATAAATAGACTGAAATTGTAAAATACCTTTGTACTCAGCTTGACCAGTAACTGCAAATACGTTGGCTTGCGGTGCAGCCTGAACCTTCGGGTTCTTAAAATGTATCATTGTGCCATCTGTTTTATACATATTGACCTGACAAAAACTAGAGTATTATAAAAAATTATACCTCCTCAATCGTGGGAATAGTGTTAAGACTGAGCTTTTTAAGAGAACTCTGCAGTTTCTTATCGTCAGCAGCCGCATTCTTGTGTACAACTTTTTTCTTTCGACGAGCTGTTCCTTTACCACCGATGCGCACTTGATCACTCATACCCTTGAACTTCTCAAGCTTCTCTAGACGCGCTTTATCGATATCCATTTTGAAGCTTTCTGAAAAACAATGACCGTATTAGTATGGAATACTCACATGAACAACACCAAAAGTCTGTCCCACAAGTCACGCCCAGGGTAACCTTGAAAAGAGCGTCTCTGTGCACGCAAGAATTAAAACAATAGTAACTCTACACCACAATTTTCACCATTCGTAGTATGAGAACAGCGTACAGTTTTCAAAAGCTCAAAGTCAATAACGTTCACTTTTAGATGTCGTAGGCTATTCTAAATACCAAAACAGTCTCAAATTAACAAATTAGAACTGTTCATCGGCTCAAAGAAAGGAATCAATTAGGAAATTGTTAATCAGTGAAAAATTGACATTATAACATACAGAAATAAAGCATAGCAGACCAGATGAACGACCAACCAAATGACCTTGTACAACATACAAAAAATCCTTCTATAATCGATTTTATCCACAGTATTCATGAGCTAATCTGAGAATTCTATCCTGACATTTATCACATAGACTTACTTATACGCTTCGGGTTGAGCCTAGCAACAGGTTGATATTGATTAAATTTACCTTTACCCACTTATTTGCTTCCTTGAATCACTTGACCATGTAAACATTGCCACTCGACTTTGGTGTGTACGGCATCGAATCTTATTCTTGATCTACGTCCAAATCGGGCATCAGCTTAAAATAAATGATGCATTTGTATCATTTTTTCAACATCTACATCGGCAGTGAACTGTACTCAATGCAGCTTTGGAGATATCAGTTTAAGCAATGAGTACTAGTTGTCGTCTGCCCATGATACCGGTGACAAAATTGAGCGAATCTATGTGACAGATCAAACATGATCGGGATTGTAGAAATCTAGGGTGGTTAGGACCTCAAATGTTGCAGGTAAGCATATGCTCGAGAATGTTATCTTCAGTTAGTCTTACCATGATTTTATATGCTATAGGCGTGATATTAGTGATCTGTAGTTGCGGACTTCTGTTTTCTAGCAGCATTCGTAATTTAGCATAATAAATGTTGTTCTCCATTTATCTGGGTAGGTTTGAGTTTCTACAGGCATTGTGGGGATTTTAAACAGTAATATGGGAATGTCAGGGTCACCATATTTATAGAAATACAATGGCGTGCCGTCAGTGCCAACGCATCTACCGATTTTAAGAGTTCTTATGACTTGATGTGGGGAACAAAGGGAAGTTGCTTCATATTAGTTGGGTGTTTACCGACTCAAGGTAGGCAGGTAGGCATAAGGTGGTTAGCTGCAAGTGTTCTGTTGAATAGTCCACACATGTCTGCAGATCCATTGTATATCCCAACTTTGTCGGTGAGGAGAGAAATACTATAGTTTTTGCGAATCAGTCGCTTCTTTAGGATTCATGTGAGAGCACATGCTCTAGCAAGCCATTCTAGTTCAATGCGTCCTTCATTCCTCAGATACACACATGCTAATATCACTAAAACTAACCTACTTAAAAATACCTAATTCACTCGATTCAAAGAAATTTATGTGGTCCTTATGAGACCTAAACTTAATTGTGCATCTGTCCGTAATTTCTGTTATAAACTCAGAGGTATTACAAACCACTACTACATCATCAGGTGCAAAGAACGGCAGTAAGTAATTCTTCATGGCCACCGTCTCCTTAACACTATGCATTTCGAAGTCTCGTGTCTTTAACGATTAGGATGCAGTCGGCACAGTCCCTGTCTTTACATGCATCTATCATATATGCCAATAGAGGACCAGCCTAACGTCAAGGTCGCCACAATGCTCTTTCTAATATTTATCATGTACGATTCATATGGGAACCCCGAGAAACGCTCCAGTTCACCATGCACCATGGCTTTCCAAAGTATATGCAGCAGTAAATGCATATTGTAGACTACGCGCTCTGAACCACACGGTATTTCATATTCTTCTACAGAGTTATTCAAATGTCTACCTAAGAAAGAACACGATGCTACAGATCTCAGGGTAACTTAACAAGTGAATGACAAATGAAAGTCATGGTGAATTTAAGTGAATTGCATTTGGTAAGACATTTTCCAGTACGGCAAGAATAGTCTACATTTCACAGTATTCCATTTAAATGACTGCATTTCCTAGATTTTAATTAATTTCACTCATACCCTTACGGTTCATCCTATTTTACGACTACCCAATAAGTTATCACACACGTAAAATTTTAGAGATGACACCTGATTGTACTAAACGCATAGGTTCCTGTGAAAACAGTGAAACCATATTCACTGATAGACGTTCGAATGTGCAGCAGCCTTTCTGATCGACTGCCTGCTGTCTGCCACGAAATATTTCGTTCATCTTTAGCGTATAACCCAGACTATCCAACTTCATCCTACCTTCTTGACAAATCTTCAACATTCCACACTAGTCATAGTCGGCAGTTCCATTATGGTCTAATGTGTATTTCACAAACTTCTTGAAGGTATTTTTGATTGAACACTAGTCAGTAACTAGTGTAATGTGTCTAGTCCTATCTTCGGTGAAGACTGAATTCTATCAGTCATGTTTGCAATGTGGCCACCATGCTAGGTGGCTCGCCATTACGGTGCACTGTGATGAGAAATTTCGAAAGCCAATAAATCATGAAAATTCAGCTGCGGGTGGACAGTACCAAGAGTTCCTATAATCAAACAACTTTCGATGTATCTTACCAGATTAGAAGCTAAGCCTGTGAGACAGTAAACAGTGACGTCCCGCCCAGTGACCTAGCGGGACAATTCCTGAACTGTAGGGATCTCCCCTGACGTCATCTAGTAACTGAACGGGTAAATCCTTACTCGTAAGGAGAATATTTTTGAGGTCCGCCAGAGATATCTCAGCCTCTGTCACTATCTTTAATGGCTGCCTCGTTAAATCAATCGAGCAGGCTTCTTTTTTTAGCTACTGGCAGCATGTCACCCGAAAATATACCTAATTTCAAGCGAAGAATCCTCACCAGTGGTCCACTGAACTCTGAAATATACGATGTCGTCACCGACAATTGCATGACTTTTACAGGTTTCGTCACCACGACAGCCTAGAGTGGGCACATTAATAACCTCTAAAAGGAAATATGGGTTATTTCTCTTCGTTGAATGGCTAACGGCTTTCAGTTCCTTGGCATTGGGAACAAGTGGTTAGGCAAGACTACTGTCCAGTCCACCTCTTCTCAGAATCTCCCTTCCCAATCTTCTGGTCATTTTGTAGGGCCCAGAACGGCGAAACTTTAGGGAAGCAGTGAGTCTACCCCTAAGCAGTTCACTCATACAACTATTTATACCTGACGCGCTAGTATTCTACTAGGTTATACTGCACCTTTCGGTGTATTAGATTTTCGTTTCAACGTGTGCTTTTACAGACTGACTACAAATTCATTTTGCGCTTTTTCATTGTCCTGTTAACAAGCAAGTCGTCAAAGTTAGCATTTCAACCTTGCTAGAAAGATAAGTTGTGAATCCTCTTCCCTAAATGAATTTGAATTTGTATTCTACTCAAATATACTGCTCATCAGGACATGACACCAATCAACTAGGTCTTTTCAATTCGCTTTTTGTCGTCAGTGTTTACAAATTAGGTAGAGTACTGATTTATTGGACAACTATGAAAATTATGCAAGAGCTGGTGCATTGTAACTTAACAACACCACTACCAGTACCTTACAAGATTGTGAATAAAACAATGAAATATAGATCGTACTTACCTACCTTTGAGCCTCAGTAAACGCATTTTAAACATAATGGATTTAGCAAACAGTAGACGAAGTAATCCTTTTGAAATGATCACTAAAAGTAGCGTAAGCGTACGATGCATGAGAGATTATTTATGGAATACAGATCCAAAGACCGTAGTGAATATGCTAAGGCTACTGCTGTTAAAAGGTTTAGAACGAAAGAAAGTCCTCTACAAGAACTGGCGCGACATAATTCTTTTGCCCACGCCAAGTAATATACTGCGTTCTGTCATCCTGGAGAGAATAAAAGATGTACTGCATGCGGAAATCCACCTGGAATAAGCTAGATTTAGGAGATTTAAATCATGTGCTGATCAAATAGCAACTCTATGCATCATCATCGAACAGAGCCTAGCATGGCAGTCTATTCCTTACCTCAGCTTAATCGACTTTGAAAAAGCCTTCTGGAGTGCTGACCACAAAGTTATTTGACAATTACTTCTGCATTACGGAGTGCCCCAAACCTTTACCAAGTCCAGTCAATGGCTATATGACAGTACCACGTGTCAGGTGGTCCACAATGGAAACTCAGAGAGGTGTTTTAAGTGAATTCAGATGTAAGGCGAGACAGGCTAATATAACTGACGACATTTTTGATTGTTGCACACTGGTTTATGCGTCAGACTGTACAGAACTAGGAGACAGGAATCTGTTAGACCGGTAGGGAGACTATGGAAGAATTGCACTTCGTGTACGATTCATGCTCAATGTCACATAAACTCGAAGACTTCGTTTTACCACTGCAACACAGTATGCCATGGCCACTCAGATGTATTAAGTAATTGAGTAATTCAAAAGGATTGGACGTGTAAGTAATTCGAAGCCACATCTTACCCATGATTTCTAAGACTTTCTCTATATTCCATATGCTTGACTAGTGTTTCCCCTCTTCACTTGCTCTCTGTCGAGCTCTCGAAAATAAAGGTTCATAAAAACCACTAGTCTCCCACTAGATGAAGAGTCGTCGGCCAGTAATCTGGATCACTGCTTGATAGAAAAGTTGGTTCCTAAAGCTTACAGGTGAAAACCAACCGGTTGACAGAAGAATTAAAGAAAGGACCTCAAGTGGGCAAAGAGAACACTGAGGTCATAGAGATATCTAACAAACAACAAGTGTCAGTGGCCATCAAGGGAAAAATCTTAAAGAAAGTTACCTCCTTCAATTATCTAGGGAACACTGACTCAGGCTGCCTGGATGAAGATGTTAAAGCCATATAGAGTCTGGAAGGCAAAGAAGGCCTTCAGCACTCTGAAATCACTTTAGAAATCCACTGCACTCAGCATAAAGAACAACATTCGCATTTTTACCAGCAATGTTCGGCCTGCTTTTCTAGGGGGTTCAGAAACGCGGTGCGTCACAGCATTTCTTTATGATACCTAGGCGTGATAATTGTGGTTCTCTTTCCTTCTGAGTGCTCACCGAGAGGGGTAGATAGAAACGTTCCCGAGGAAAAGGGGAATTTCTGCTTCGTAGTATCTCAGGAGGTTTATAGAAGTTCAGCGTGGTTCATTGGCTTTCAAATAATTCAGGTATAGGGCTCTAATATTATGTCTCAGTGAAGGAAGGTGACGGGTTACGCGTGCGGAAAGTTTGTAGGAAGTGAAAAATGCCGATTTCACCACAAACACTCTTAAACATACGGAGATATTTGGGGCGTGAAATTTGTCAAAATTCGATGTTTTACCGTGAAACCTATCAACCATATTGAGTTTTAATTGAACCTGAGGAACAGTTTTTTCAACTTTCATGGAAAATTACCCTCTGTATACTTGCTTATCTGAATCAGTGTTATGAGATGAAGGGTTACTTTTCTCAAGATGCTGCTTGCAGGATCTGGAGGATTTTCCTCATATGACGCTAGGAGTGAAGTACGTTTTGTGAATAGATAACTTATCTGGAAAGTAGTCCACTCCATTGTCGCATAGATAGCTAAACAGAGAGCCAATGGATTCATCCTTAACATAACCTTTGTCATAGGCCAATATATGCATTCCTTGTTTCTTCGTTCCTTACATACTGTCGTTTCCTTCAGTAAATATACTTTTCCGTCTCACATCGTTGTATTTTTGCTCAGTTATAGAGCTGGAAATCAGATATTCGTTGTATTGGGTTGATGGCACTGATGATCAGCACGTTTATCATAATCTTTAGAGTCTTTATCCATTCAGCCAACGTTTGCAAAAGATAAAATAGTGCACTATAATTTGATTTGGCTTTGGTGTACTTGTGAAAACAAGGTTGCCTAAACACTCTAGACTGCGTGAAGACTTAATAGCGTTATACACCTTATGCCTAAGGATTCTTCCTTGTTACACGCATCAAAGAAATCCTTTTAAACACATAATTGTGTTATACATTCTATGGGTATAGAGAAAATATCCACTAAGCTTATAGTTATGGGGTATAAGTCAATTTTAAAGAACACTGTGTGCCATTTGTGGGAAATTTGTTTCAAACGATAACTGGAAAAGCGTAAGCTGGGAATTTCACCAATTATCCTCAAAATTACGTATTTTGACTGCAGTATCCTATATTGGATGAGGTTGTGAAGGCGCGCATTGTGTATCAATTGCGCTACGTTAATATGGTTCACATGACAGGTTGGCCGAAGGGTTCGGCCGAGAAATTCCTGCATTCCACACCTGTTGCTAAAACAATAACTCTGTGAGTAAAATTTTTGGATATTCTTGTTTTGTCTTAGTCCTGCTAAAGAAAGTTCCTTATATCTAAAGTACATATAATCATACATATACATGCATAGCCATTCATGCATGCATATTCGTTGTGAAATTGCTAACAGAGACTACATGAGAGAAATTCTTCAATTTTAATAACATTAGCGTAAATAGCTTGTGTTCATCATTGTAGTGGGTTTATCTGCATGCAGTTTCCGTTGATTACATCTCTCCCAAGGTCTTGGGAAACCACTGAAATCTCTTCAAATCTGCAAACTTTGTATGAATCTAGTTCCTTATTTTCCCTGTCACACTTTCAATTATTCCCATCCAAATCCGATGTTTTTTGGTACCCATTAATCGATGCCTTCTAATATCCTCCAGCGATCTTAAGTGACTCATGTAATAGTTTCGCAATTGTGCCTTTTATTCGTGGTATCTAAATTTGTGTTTTTGGAGCACACCGTTATTTATATTGTAGAGATCCACAAAATCCAGATTTTATTCCAGTTCGTAGCCATTCAATCTACTGTCCTGAGCGTTTTATTACATATTTGTAAAAACATTCGGATTTGTCTTTCACCTGCATTCATTCTTAGGCAAGTATAACCCATAGCTGGTTGCATGAAAAACTTCTAATTAAGGAGCAAACACTTAATAGTTCTTTGAAAGTCTTTCCAAGCTACCCACCACTATCCTCAGTACGCATTTCGTTATTTACGATTCAATGCTTATTAGAAATGTTTTCCAGTCTATGTAGTAGTTATATAAAATTGTACAACTCTCCATACATATATATACATATCAAGTGGCTTTTGTTTCATATTCCATTGTAGCCGCCATATCTTTGTAACAGTTGTCACTCATGTTTCTCATCAACTAGTTCTTCAAGTAAATCTCCACACCCATGCTTTAAGCGAACCATTCAGTTTCTTCGTTACTTATCTTACTTATCAGAATCAAGTATTTTCACTCACTAAGTAACAGTCTTAATGGTGATTACTACATTTTGGTCACTTTAATAATAAAACTGGTACCAAAAGATTGTATTACAACAAAACGGCAAAGTTAAACTTTAAGCATCAATAAGTATCAACGGACAAATGACCTTGAATGCACCAACCAAATGATAAAGGCGACATTTGCGTATAAAATACATATATTCGTGAAAATAATGAATTAAAAGGTATTAAAGTTTTACACAGGGTACCTTCCGCTGACGTGTGACAAAATGCCTCTCACTTTTCGATTCGAGTGTCAACAGAGTAGTTTAATCACATTCTACACTTTGTCATTATCTTTTCTTCTGACCCTAACAATAACCCTAATCTAACTTGAGCCAACCCTAATGTCGCCCTCGTCAGGTTAACCTAACCCCAACCTATCCTTAGCCTAGACCTTAATTCAATCTTCTTATAAACATAACCTGAGACTTACCAGATATCCCATCTAATATCACAGCGGTGCATTAAGCATATTTTATTCATGATTACAGTATTATTTACCAGGTTTCCCTCACTTACCTACTGAGTTTCAGGGTCATTGGTGTGGTCGTACTCCGTTGGCATTTACTGGTGCTTAGAGTTTAACTTAGTCTAACAAACTAAACAGTAGAAGTAGGACTGTGGATATGCAGCTTCAAAGTAATAGAGTTACATTGCATTCTAGATGTTATCTACTAATTACTTATGTAATAAATCAAATTACAAAAAAATCGTATGAAACTAAAAGCTTTGACAGTGCATTAAAATGTTACTTCACATCATTAGTTTTATCACTCATCTAGATTTGATTTGCTCATGATCAGTAATCGCTGCCTAATTGAATATAGCGTACAAGCCTGGTGTGTTATTATGGATGTTTAATTGGTTTTAATTAATAATGAACAATCATTAACGACAGAAAGCCATCACTTATTTTTGTCATTTACTGATAAACCAAATCCAAACTTCATTTTATTTGTGGAAAATCATTCGTCAGCTCTTAGTTTTCTTTTACTACACAATTAGCGTGTTTCTTAGCCTGTTGCATGAAAAGTCTGCCCCATGTAACTGAGTCCTAACGGTCCAAAAATCTGGTGCTAACTTTAGTCATAAAAGATATTGTTTCACTCATCAGCAGTCTACATAAGGCGGTCGACGAAGATACTATGCCATGACCTATCCCATTATAAATTTGTGGACACTAACTGGTGAAAAATGCAAATGTTTTTCCGATAACTTCTGTAGATTCTACAGTTATATATCGATAAAAAAGCACAATGCGCTTAACAAAGGATTGCAGTTTTCTACCTAGGTATACATGAAACTTACTTCTCTAGCTAATGGAATGTGTGAAATCTCAAAAAATGTTTCACCTAAAGACTCCATGTACCTTGTTACACATATGCTATGTAATATATATCTACATACATAACAAATGTCACAAAGAAACCGTCATAGAAACATAAAGGCGAAGAGATAACGGCTCATTTAGAGATCGGAAGAAAGATACCATATTTGTTTGAACTCAGTTATCTGGGACAGAATTTTCATGTACCAGGCTATAAGCCATAAATTGCACAAGGGCTAATGATAGCACCCTTAGTTGCCCAGGTTAAAGTGGATGAATCGAGATTCCAACCTGGTACCCATTGGCTATTAGTCAAACACTTAAACCAATGAATCACATCTCCATAGACTGACAAACTTATATTGATTAGAGCACACTATTACGTCATCTTTGAAATAAACTAGCAGCAACAGATTACAGTTTGATAATTTCAGCGTTTATAGGTTGAATAATACCAGTAGCAATAGTGATATATGTGCGTCGGTGGCATAGCGGTTAGGATGCTCGCCGACCATGCACATGGTCCGGGGTTCGATTCCCGGCCACTGGACTCACTCCTTTACCTCGCTAAGCCAGATATAATGCTGGTGAAGAGGAAAGGTTGGGCATGAGGCTAGCAACCCCATCCTGTAAAAATAAACTGCTACAGAAACTTCAAGCCACTAGCTTGAAGCCCTATGTTACACTGGGGAACGTGAAGGAAAAAAATTAGTAATATATGGGTAGGATTGAAGTAGGACGATTCATTGTCTTCTGATGACTACCGTTAGCAAACAATAAATAAATTTATTAAATTCTGATTTATTAACATTTTCTTCTCCGGAACGGTATGCTTCCTAGTCTGAAGATATTCACAGTGACATCATAATGATAATAAATTTAGTTTATTTGTAGAATCTGAAATGATGACTGAAAATTCAGTGTAAAGCGTTATTCAGAAGGGGACCAGTTGAAGTTGCTGTATATCCAAACGTGACAAATTAGGAAAGTAGAGATATGTAAAAAATGTGTGCGAGGGGCAGAATAGTTTAATGACTGACTGACGTAGAACTTTACACATAAGCAGCAGTTCTAGTTGCCACTCTCCCTCCATGTAGCACACAAAACAAGAGAAAAGAGATATCCAAAAGAGAGAGAAATAAAAAACAAGTATGAGGTAAAAAGAATAGTAATATGGAAGAACAATCGAGTTTTATTGACTATGATAAGTCACAAAGAGTGATTGCATCTGCACTGTCATTGAAAACGATTTTCAACCATATTACCAAATATCTTCTGCCACCGTCATTGGTTTTCACCATCCCGAAGACCCCAACCTCCCAGTTAGGAAGTCTACACCTCCCTACTTGTCTGGTTGGCTAGCTTAAACTAACTATTGTGGATTTCATTGATTGATTAAGCCATGTTTTGGTTTGACCACTACTAGCTCTTTTCCAACCAGATCCATCCTATGTCAGTGGCTAACATTGCCTGTTGTCGAGGAAGGCATGCGATGACTGGACTAAACATACGTAACACATGTCCTAATCATCTCTCTCAGGCGATGTAACTTCACAACCTTGTCGATTGATTTCCCTTCCTTACCTAGCACTCGACTGAGGCCTAATCTCAATATTGCTCACCTTATTATACCATCTAATACACACACGGGGTATAAAACGCAGGCACCTATGATCAAAGACAGCCACTCAGGCTTTTCATGACTTCTACTTCCAGTGGCCATGTCTCTCTCATAGTCATAAAGGACTGCTGAGCAATACACACGTTCTTTTGGTCGATAGCCAGTCAAATGTCACGTATACTAAGCCAGAGATGGCGTAAGTTAGCAGGCATATGCCAAACGGCTCGTATCCATACCTAGATTTCGTCAGCGATCAGCCTGTTGACACTGGTTGATGCAATTCCCCAAATAAGTTAGGTGATCAACACGCTCTATTAATTTACCGCCTCCCTATCTCTAAGCTAGGAGTGAGTCAGTGTAGTCCAGTCCTGTAGTTCAATGGATTTATTTGGAATTTGGAGGATAAGATCAGTGATTGTAAAACTATGGATTTTCTTTGTAAGTGTGGTTGATAGCCTGCTCTATAAAACACACCTATTCTATGTAAATGAGTTCTAACTTGTAATTATTTCTGTTCTACTGATCTCTACGTTTATTTATTCATTTAGATATCCTTTGAAAAGTTACAGTTTTGGAACAAAAGAACCTAATTATGAACGTGATAGAAGTGTCCCAGCTCGGTTTCAACGTTTACAAGAAGATTTTGAAAAGTATGGAATGCGTCGTTCAGTTGAAGGCATTCTACTTGTACATGAGCATAACTTACCTCATGTTTTATTACTTCAACTTGGTACATTTTTCAAACTTCCTGGTGGTGAGCTACATCCAGGAGAAGAAGAAATTGAAGGATTGAAACGATTATTATCTGAGGTTTGTTTTCTATTTGACATATTGTTTATTATTACTTAACGTCTAGGAGCTATTGTAGGCGTATGGTTGATCTTTAAGACAAAGTGTTTAGTCAATAGTTGTTTATAGTATATCTGTTTGTTATGGGAACAATTATAGGGCTCTAATCATTACAATTCCATAAATCCTGCCCTGATACAGTGGAGCTAAGCTCACTGGTGGCTAGAAATTTTATCCACCATCCCAGTAGCACTGACACAGCAACATTACCATAATAAGCTCCCAGGATAGACGTCTGGAGCGCTGGAAAGAAAACTATGAGGAGCAGTTTAATTGGCCTACAGCCACGCTTAACCTGCCGAACATCCAACACCTCCCTGAAAGGCGTATAGACACAGGTCCTCCGTCCTTAACTGAGGTTACTAAAGCTGTCACTAATCTGAAACAATGCAAAGCAGCGGGACCTGATGGAATGACTGCAGAGGTATTTAAGTACGGTGGAGACAGTTTACTGTCTGTGTTAACTGAGGTACTAGGCAGCGTCTGGGAATCAGGAAGTCCCGTTGGGTTGGTGTAAGTCACTGATTATCCCCATATACAAGAAGGGAGACAAGTCCTCCTGTGATAATCACAGAGGGATTAACTTGACTAATATAGTATCTAAAGTCCTAGGCTCAATAATATTGCGTAGACTAAGTGGTGCTCGGGAGGCACAAACACGAGAAAACCAGTTAGGTTTTAGGCCAGGAAGAGGGTGTATTGATCATATCTTCACCCTTCAACAGATTCTAGAATATAGGCATTGTTACCGGCTTCCAACAATCACTATATTTCTTGACCTAAAGGCGGCATTCGATTCTGTCGACCGAGAGGTACTCTGGCGATGCTTGACTGTAAAGGGAATGCCGAGGAAATACATTGCACTGATCAAGGCACTCTACTTGAACTCATGCAGCCAGGTGAGGGCTTATGGTGAGTTGTCATCTGAACTGGTGACAACTAGTGCCGTCTGTCAAGGATGCCCATTATCTCCATTTCTATTCAACTTCATCATAGACGTACTAATGGACTTAACCCTAACACTTCAGCGACTCAGGGATTGACTTGCTACCAGGGAATAATTTTGTTGACTTAAAATATGCAGACGATATAGTCCTTCTAGGCGAGGACGCTGACAAAATCCAGCAGAGTCTTCTGAACACCTTGAGCTGCAATCTACGAATGTTTGGCATGCGATTCGCTCCCGCCAAATGTAAGATGATGTTACAGGACTGGACTACACTGACTCCTAGTTTAGAAATAGGGAGTGAAGTGGTAGAGCACGTTGACCGCTTCACTTATTTGGGAAGTACCATTAGCCCCAACGGGTTGATCTCTGACGAAATCTCAGCACGGATGCAGAGGGCTAGTTTCGCATATGCCAGTTTACGCCGTCTCTGGCGTAGACGCGATATCCGGCTATCGATCAAAGGGCGGGTGTACTGCTCAGCAGTTGATTCGCTCTGTTCTCCTTTACGGCTGTGAGACCAGGCCATTGAGAGTGGAAGAAATGAAAAGACTAGCTGTCTTCGATCATAGATGCCAGCGTTCTATCTCCCGTGTGAAGTGCTTTAATAAGGTGAGAAATATTGAGGTTAGGCCTCAGTACAGTGCTAGGTAAGGAGGGGAAATCAATAGACGCGGCTGTGAAATTACATCGGCTGAGATGGTTAGGACATGTGTTCCGTATGCCTAGTCATCGCCTTCCTCGACGGGCGATGTCAGTTGACACAGGGTCAGGCTGGAAAAGGGCTAGCGGCTGTCAAACCAAAACATGGCATTAGTCAATGAAATCCACAACAGTTAGTTTAAGTCAGCTAGTCACGTAGGAAGGTGTAGACTTCCAGACTGGTTGGGATCCTCGGGACGGTAAAAACCAATGGCTGGAAACAATTAGTGATATGGCCCAAAATCGTTCTCAATGGCTGGTGCAGATGCATCCACTCCTTGTGAATTATAATTTCCAATGAAACTATGTTGTTCTTCGTTATTACTACTCCTTTGGCTCACACCTCAACTTAGTGTCTCTTTTTCAGTTTTCTTCTACTTTCTTCTCCTGCTTTGTGTGCTACATGGAGTGTGGCGACTCGAACTGCTGCACCTATGTGCAAAGTTCTATGTCGAAAACAAACAGACAGAGAAGACTTGACGTCTAGGAGCCTTTGCAGGCGAATGTTTTGTCTTTGAGACAAATAGTATTTGGGTAATAGTTACCTATGGTATATCTGTTTGTTATCAGAACAGTAATAGGAATATAATTAGTACGATTCTACAAGTGCTATCCTGATACGGTGGAGCTAATCTCACTGGTCGTCAGAAATTTCATCCACCATCCCAGGAGCACCGACACAACTGTCTAGATATACAGACTCAGAATATTTCCAATGAAGTTAGTCTGTAATAAGGATGATGGTCTTCTGACAACTGGTGGAGGGTCTGTCTGGATTCAACATAGAACTTGGCACTGAAGTGCAGCAGTTCGAGTTGCCACGTTCCAAATAGCACACAAAGGTAGACAAGAAGATGAGTGAAGAGAATCAATAGAGGTTTGACAAGTATAAGAGTGAAACAATGAGTAATGGTAGAAAGGAAAATGAAAGATTACAGAGACTGAATACATCTGCGCCATTGACAGCGATTTTGAGCCATGTCACCTATTGTCTCCAGCCATTGATTCTTAGAGTCCCGAGGGCCCCAACCCGGAAGTCTGCATCTCCCTACCTGACTCAGTTTAACTGTCAGGGATTTCATGGATTGATGAGGCCATGTTTTTGTTTGGCCACCACTTACTCTTTTCCAACCTGCACCTATATCAGCTAGTAATGCCCGTCGGGGGAGGCGCAGCATGCGCAGCACCTGACCTAACCATCTCAATCTATGTAACTTTATAGCCTCGTTGATTGATTTTCCCTCTTTGCCCAACACTCTACGCCTAACGTCGTCATTACTTACCTACCTTATTATACCACCTAACGTGAGAAAGAGATCGCAGACATCTATGATCAAAAACAGTCAGCCTTTTCATGTCTTCAACTCGTATTGGCCATGTTTCAGAGCCATAGAGAAGGACGGAGCGAACTGCTAAGCAGTACACACGTCCCTTGGTTGATAGCCGGATGTCACGCCTACGCCAGAGATGGTGTAGGTTAGCGAAAGCAGCTCGAGCTTTTTGGATCCGTGCTGAGATTTCGTCACCAATCAATCCGTTGGTGCTGATACAACTTCCCAAATAGGTGAAGTGGTCAACATGTTCTATCACTAAGCTAGGAGTTGACGTGGTCCAGTCCTGTAGCAGCATCTTACATTTTACAGGGGCGAATCGCATGCCAAACATACGAAGATTGCTGCTCAAGGTGTTCAGAAGACTCTGCATTTTTTCAGCATCCTCCCCTAACAGGACTATGTCATCTGCATATTGGATTAGAGTTAATCAACCATTGAGCACTATGATATAGACCACTGAATGTTGTTTCTCAAAGTACTTTACCCAGAGTTCCAGATGTATTTACACTCTGTTATTCCGGGGGGGGGGATTCTATCAGTCTCAAAGATAACCCCGAAACCATGCTTCTAGCTGACAGGGAGGAGGACAGCTCCCTACTGCTGTCAAACTAACCACCAAACATCATGGACCTTATGTAAGCACTGTTTCATTTAAGGTTCACGCACGTCATCACACTCGTTATCCAACAGAATAGAGTCGATCAACGAGAAGTGGCATAAATTTGTAAGTCAGTGTTTGCTAGTGAGATATCTCTCCAATCTCCAAGCAATCTTCATGATTTCTTCGAAGTGTTGACAGTGTCCAGGTATATTTTCTGGCGCTTTCCTATGGATGGATAACATATATGCGATTCCTAGAGAAAGTATCCTTTTGTTATAGTTGTGAGGATAACATAAAATATTGACTCGGAAGTCGATTATTCCCCTTCTCAGCGAAGTATACTTTTCCACGTGGGGATATCGATGCTTCTCACGGTGCTAAATGGGCGAAAGTTACGTAATTGTCCCTTAGAATATCACTTTCCCTCAAGAGCCACACGGAAACCGGCATCCAGCTCTTCCTTCTGTTGTAGCTAACCTTGAAAGTATAAAACTTGGGCACTGTGATAGAGTATAACTCCATTATCGATAAGATTTTACTTTGATAAAGTGTCACACAATGTGGTTATACTGTAATATTAACTGATGACCACGTTTCGAGCACAATTTATTACTGCAGCTCATAATCATATCAAGTCACTCACACAACTTTTTTCCTTCATTTATATACATCAGTAAAAAGTGATGATCAGACATTTGAATAAAAATCAATATGGGATAATGTACATTCAGAAATAATAATATGAGTGTTATTCATCAAATACAGTTAGATGGGAAATAAGACGAGTGTTTTTATAGTCATAATAAGCTACTTGTTAGAATGTTTTGATGTATGTGAATTGAAATAGAATACAATTTAAGATTATTTATTATCCTCTTCTGATTTGACTGATTGGTGGTAATAATATCTTCCATGCATATCTCTGGTATTTGCGTTGTCATTTCTGTTGTTTGTGTTGTGTTGGGTGTAGACATAATGAACCAGGATTCAGTAATCAATCTCTCTCTTCACCCACATAGATGACTTCTTAGAATCTTGACCCTCTCCCACCCTATTGTGTGGTTGTGTGTTAAGCCAACACATTTTAATAGATATTTAAACTTTAGTAAATTGAATATTCCCATAATTTATTCAGAACAAAATATTTAGAGCGAACAATTGTGGTTTCAATAAATTCTTCTTCAGGCTCTACAATTATAAATCCATTAATTTAAGCATACAATAGCCAGCCAATAAAGGCAAATTAGAATCATATCAGAAAGTGTATTGTGGAACAAGTATAACATGGGATGGAACAATAGTCAGATAGTTTTTAATATGCATGGTCAATGAGAACATGGGACAAAATCAGATGAAGTAATTTAATTTAATGATGTATATATATATATATATATATAGTCAACAGAAATACAGGTTTCGAGAGTGTGTGTAATCAGGGTGTGTGAGACAATATGAAAATAAACCAACGAATGGGGCGGACTAGACATAAGTTCAAGGTTGAAAATAACGACAGTAAGAATGATTGTAAAATAATAACGATGATATGGTGTAAAATTACAAGCACTATTGGTGAATGATTGTCAAATAATAATAGTGAATATAATGAAGTGGAATGAACAGGATTTTGTAAATACGATAGCAAGTTAGAAAAGCATCGTATTTACAAAATCCTGTTCATTCCACTTCATTATATTCACTATTATTATTTGACAATCATTCACCAATAGTGCTTGTAATTTTACACCATATCATCGTTATTATTTTACAATCATTCTTACTGTCGTTATTTTCAACCTTGAACTTATGTCTAGTCCGCCCCATTCGTTGGTTTATTTTCATATTGTCTCACACACCCTGATTACACACACTCTCGAAACCTGTATTTCTGTTGACTATATATATATATATATATATATATATATATATATATATATATTGATTGATAGCGCTCATATTATTATTTCTGAATGTACATTATCCCATATGATTTTTATTCAAATGTCTAATCATCAATTCCACACATGTATATAAATGAAGCAAGAAAGTTGTGTGAGTGACTTGATATGATTATGAGCTGCAGTAATAAATTGTGCTCGAAACGTGGTCATTAGTAAATATTACTGTACAACACTGTGATTTATCAAAACAAAATCTTATCCATAATGGAGTTAACCTTGAAATAGTTGTTTCTGTTCGAATCCCGTCTCCCACACTAAGTGTATCCGAGTATTCAGTGTACGAGCATGTACGCACTGTTTAGCTGAAGTTTTGTTCTCTGTGTGTTTATATATACTATTGTTATGTTGTTATATCCTTTCAGATGTTAGGTCGTACAGACGGTGTTCCAGTCGATTGGATTCCAGAAGACTGTATTGGTAACTGGTGGCGACCGAATTTTGAACCACCTCGTTATCCATATATTCCTGCGCATATCACTAAACCAAAAGAACATACCCGCCTATTTTTAATTCAGTTGCCTGAAAAAACACTGTTCGCTGTACCATCAAATTATAAGCTGGTTGCAGCTCCATTATTCGAATTATTTGATAATGCTAGAGCCTATGGCCCAATCATTTCTTCTCTGCCTCAAGTATTAAGCCGGTAAGTGAGTTAAGCACACACACACACATCGAAAATAAAGAAATTTCACCTTATTATTTGTGTTTAATAATCCAAAAGGCTTTCCGGTTCTCATGAAAACACATAGTCTGCCTATTACGATCTTTCTAAAGCTTAATAAACAGTATGAAGTATGTTATTAGGTGGTTGTAGGCAATCAGAAGGAAGCCTTGCCCTACCTAGGTTTCGTGCTAGTTGGATGGCACTCAACCAGTCAGTCAGCAAGGTGTGTGTATCTGCAAGCGCCTTGAAGGAACTCTTGTCCCTTCTGAGATTCGAACCCGCGTCACCTAGTGAGCACTGCAGTCAGTCAGAGCCGTTACCACCGAGCTAGTTGGGTTCACGATTGACCTCCTGTAGGACTGTGTTGGATACCTTGATTGGACACTAGTAAGTAACTAGTAACAAAGAACTAGACACATTACACTAATTACTAGCTGGTGTCCAATCAAAGTATCCAAGACAGTCCTACAGAAGGTCAACCGCAAGCCCGAATAGCTTAGTGGTAACGGCTCTGACTGACCGCAGTGCTCACTAGGTGGTGACGCGGGTTCGAATCTCAGAAGGGACACGAGTTCCTTCAAGGCAGTTGCAGATACGCTCTGCTGACTGACTGGTTGAGTGTCAGCCAACTAGCACGAAACCTAATTGGTGTTCAAGGCTTCCTGTAGCTGATTGCCGCCGACCATCTTGTATCAGCAATTCAGAGTGCACCGTGATCGCGAACCACCACTTGACTGATAGAATTCAGTCTGCACCAAACAAGGGACTAGACACATCACACTAGTTATTGACTAGTATCCAATCAAAGTCTACAGTGTTAGTAATTTCAGCTGCCTCGTAAATGTTTAAAACGTCTAGATTACCTTAAAACAGCATCGATGTCTTGAATGCTCCCCGCAGCACGTATGTGTTACTACGAGGTTCTATTCCCGGCCAACATACTTCGAAACCGGGCAAAAGTGGAGGTTAAGCTTGGGGCTATAGCAATCTTTCTTACCCCCCCCCCCACATAAAGAGAACATTACTGCTAGTGAAAATTCCGGAGCTGTAGCTTAAAGTTGTATGTTTCACTAGAGGAATACAAAGGAATTAAATAAAATGAATCTTAAGTAGTAATAATATTAATAACTTTATTCTGAACAGTGTTTATATAATGTGCATAATTTTCAACGAAATTTATTGCATCGTATTTTGTCTCACATCTAGGATCTTCAAGTATAGAAATAGTGATTGGCAGTAAGTAGGTCGCATGATACAGTGCTGTCTGGTCTAACCTTAAGCCTTGTGATATTTCTGCCTTATCTCCTTCATTATGTATTTCCATACAGACTTTCAGATGAACTGTGATCAAGATTTGACCGAAGCCCCCTACATATGTATCTGGGTGAATCGCAATAGTTTGAATAGACGTCAAGGTGTGTGATCTTGTTAGCTGATACATGGCAAATCCTGATTAATAAATAAGAAAATGGATATATATATCACTAATTAATCATATTCGGTCTAAATTCACGATTGTCTATCTGTATCTTCTAATGGAGAGGCTAACAAATGATTTACAATTGTTGCCGCATACACACATGCACACACATATATAGAATGATGCTCGTGAAGGCTTCGTGTGCTCTTGGAAGTGTGTGGGCGGTTGTTACTTCCCGGCTGCCCACACCATGGAAGTGTATACTATTTTGGTGTGGTTGTGTTCTCTGAGCTGGATGGTTTGGTTGCGAAGCTTTCATTGCTCTACTGAGCAACATCTTCAGCGCATACTTCGATGTGAAGTATGCGCTGAAGATGTTGCTCAGTAGAGCAATGAAAGCTTCGCAACCAAACCATCCAGTTCAGAGAACACAACCACACCAAAATCATCCACCTGAGCTACAAATCTTCTCTATTATATCTAAGTGTATACTATATATATTGTTGGTACTAGATGGTTGGAGGCAATCGGCCATGGGAAGCCTTGGACATAGGTTTCGTGCTAGTTGGCACTCATCAGCAAGGCGTATCTGCAACCTTGAAGGAACTGATGTCCTTTCTGAGATTCGAACCCGCATCACCCAGTGCTGCAGTCAGAGACGTTACCACTGAGCTATTCAGGCTCGCGACTGACCTCCTGTAGGACTGTATTGGATATTGTACCAACAATTCACAGTGTACCGTAATGGCTAGCCACCTAGCATGGTGGCCACATTGCAAACATGACTGATAGAATTCAGTCTTCACCGAAGATAGGACTAGACACATTACACTAGTTACTGACTAGTGTTCAATCAAAAATACACTATATATACATATATATATATATATATATATAATTCATAATCAGTTATCTGCGATCATGAACTTTAGCCGAACGTAATCACTAAAATTCTGATGCAAAAGTACAGCACACAGTAATATTAACTGATGACGTTTCGAGCATAAACTATTGCCCATAATCATATCAAGGCACTATTCACACAACTTTCTTGCTTCATTTATATACATGTGTGGAATCGATTAGATATTGGGATAAAATTCAATATGAGATAATGTACATTCAGAAATAATAATAATATGAGTGTTATCAATCAAATACAATCAGATGGGAAATAAGACGAGTGTTTTTATAGTCATAATAAGCTACTTGTTAGAATGTTTTGATGTGTTTGAATTGAAATAGAATTTTAAGATTATTTATTATCCTCTTCTGATTTGACTGATTGGTGGTAATAATATCTTCCATGCATATCTCTGGTATTTGCATTGAGTCATTTCTGTTGCATGTGTTGTCTTGGGTGTAGACTCAATGAACAAGGATTTCGTAATCAAACTCTCTAGCTTTCCAACTACCTATGATACTCTTAGGAATTTTAACCCTCTCCCACCTTATTGTGTGGTCGTTTGTTTGTAATTTAGAAAAAAGCTCAGCAATTGCACTTCACGCATAACAAACAACCACACAATGAGGTGAGATAGGGTTAAAATTCTAAATAGTAACATAGGTACGCGGAAAGAGAGATTGATTACTGAATCCTTGTTCATCGAATCTACACACCCAACACATGCAACAGAAATGAGTCAATGCAAATACCAGAAATATGGAATATATTATTACCTCCGGTCAAATCAGAAGAGAATAATAAATAATCTTAAAATTCTATTTCAATTCAAACACATGAAAACATTCTAACAAGTAACTTATTATAATTGTAGAAACACTCGTCTTATTTCTCATCTGATTGTAATTGATCAATAACACTCATATTATTATTTCTGAATGTACATTATCTCATATTGAATTTTATCCCAATATCTAATCGATTCCACACATGTATATAAATGAAGCAAGAAAGTTGTGTGAATAGTGCCTTGATATGATTATGAGCAATAGTTTATGCTCGAAACGTCATCAGTTAATATAACTGTACAACACTATGTGATTTATCAAAATAAAATCTTATCCATAATGGAGTTACGCTCTACCACAGTGCCCAAGTTTTATACTTATATCAGTAATACAGCACACAGTGTTTACAGTGTTTAACAAAAGTAGACTAATATTTGTAAGAAGTCAGGTGAAATTTTGATCACAGTTCATGCAGTTTTGCTTATTATCATATTTTGATGCTTATTTCATGAACCATATGATTGGACAACACTTTTCAAAGACAAGAGATATCCTGTCCTTTTTATACATATATACCTGTTATTTTAATTTCGACAAATTTCCCTGAAGAAGTTCGGACCAGTTTGTCGAATGCAAGGGACGTTGGAATTACTCATTTCAATTTCGTTGAGATTTTACAAATATAATTTTTACATATATGTAACTGAACTGGAAGTCAGTCTGTGAAGGAAGAATATTCTTTTCAACAATTTCCCCTCTTCAGGTTATTACAGTTATAAAATAGAATATATTTGTTGTCGTTACAATAATGGCCAGTTAGTAATGTGGTGGATACATTTTTACGTTGAATAACAGATTAGTACATATAGGGTGACAAAATAAATAGTATTTGTGTGACAAACGTGCTAGGCTGAAATCGATTACAAAATATTTCGGTGAAATGAGAGACAATGGTTGTGACTAGTCATAATAGATTCGTAGAATGTGGGGTAGGAAAATTGACAAGTCAGTTCAAGGTTATAAAAGGTGTCGGGTGAGTCAGTGGCTAGTACAAAGTGGTCTGTGTTAAACAGGAGATAGTAAGACTGCAATTAGACGTTCATAATGAAATAACGAATATGTGAAATGAAACAGGTGGAGGCATATATTGAGAAAAGAGATAATATCACTAATAATAAGTCCGGATAGTATAAATGGAAAATTCGATAGTACTGAGAGAATGTTTGCATGAAGGGTATAAATTATGACGAATAATAATTGTAATAATAAGCAAAGAAAGAAAAAACCAAGAGGGATACGGAGAAGAGGCACTCTTGTTGAGAAGAAGAATCACTAATTCTCGTTTGGCCAAGGTAGGAACAACATCTGAACGTGTTCTTTTTGGATACAAAGTTCTGGTTTAGTCGATCTTATTGCAACTACTTCAGCTATGTGTAGGAGACGTGAGCGAATTCTACGTGATAACGACTTCGGAATTTAGTATATAACCCTGAAGGCTGTGCTGGCATCAATGCGACGTCCAGTATTGACCAAGTATAAAAGAATCGAGTTTTTTATGCACTTGATTCCCCCGCCCCCCCCCCCCTCGCTAAACCAAGCTGGTAAGTGTTCTCGAACCCATACTACTATTTATTTTCCCACCCTATACGTATTAATCTGTTATTCTATGTTAAAAAATGTATCCGCCGCATAACTAACTGACCATTATTGTAATATTAAGAACACAATATTCAGCGAAGAGACTCTCTTCAACAATGAATTTATTATCAAGCCGTACAATTCTATATATAAGTGGTTTTTCTTAAGAAAATATATCCGGTGAGGGAATTAGATCAAAGGTGTGAATACATGAAATAATAATAATAGTATGAAATGCAATTAAAATATTTGTGATTATAATCATAGTTAATTGTCAAGTGGCAAAATAATTAATGTCGTATATAGAATAATACATAAGGTGTATAGAATTTTGGAAAGGGGTACATAATTATAAGATTAGTAGGCGAATATAACATGTTACATAACATGTTGTGAAATTTAATAAGATAGAATTCAATATTGTGAAAAAAAGTTTTTGGATTCGCTTAATTTGTGCACAAAGGTTTGGCTGGCTTAAATTCATGAATGGTCAAGGCTCCTGCTGTCTTTCGAAGTTTATAACGAATGAAACACGTCAATTCAGCATGAATTGGATGGATCTTCTTAAAATCATCACCAGGGTTGATAGAGTGACTCAGAAGTCGGCCAAGTTGTTCTAGAATAGAGCTTCGCATACCCTTCCTTTCTATCTTGAAAAGCCATGCTGGAATATGTTCTCGTATGCGTGAATGAAAAGCGTTATTTGGCTACGGCAAATGTACCTTGCTCCATACGAGCAGGGGAACTGATAGATGCACATGGAGGCGTTCAGACGGGGGAGCTTATCTTTTACAGAGATATAGAGCAACTTGCGGCTAGTGAACGTCATTTGTAATTTTGCAGCAAAGAATGTTTCACCGATTGATTTGGTGAGACGGTTTTTGAGCATATCTAAAGCTTGATCACCTTTGAATTCCAAGTCCATGAATATAGTTTTCTTTGGAACTGAGTCGGTGACCAGTTTAGACTGCTTGTCTTTCATGTTGCTGTTAGGGTAACCGTTTTCTGCGAGCGTAGCTTTTAAGAAGTCAAGTTCTGAGTCAATGCAATCAGAACTACAAATTTTCCTTATCCTAAAGCAGAGTGAATGAATTAGGTTTCTCTTTCTGGAGATAGACACCCAACTGTAGAAATTATTTAGTTGTCCATTCCATGTACTTTTCCGATGGATGGATCTTTTGAGAGATCCGTCATTGCGTCTACTAAGGCACATATCAAGAAAGGGAAGACTTAGTTCAGATTCCTTTTCCTTGGTGAATTGCAGTGATGGATGGCAGTTGTTGAATGCAAACAAAACATCATCAACAAGTACATTCTTCTCGCAGATAATGAAAGTCTCGTCTACATATCTTCTATAAATGTCGAAATGACCGATGATTTGACTAAGTTGAGAGTTTTCAAGCTTTACCATAAAACAATCAGCCAACAGGGGGGGACCCAGTGGTGATCCCATCGCAATATCATCTCTCTGACTAAAAAAATCTCATTATTGAAGGTGAACTGAACATTCAACGTGTATCTCAATAAAAGTTCTTTGAGATAGATTGTTGGCAATATAATCACATATATAGCAAACAGTTTTTCATGAGAGGTACACTGGTAAATAACGAAGTCACATCTAATGAGAACATGATTTTGTCTGAGACATTAAAATTTTAAAAAATACTTTCGAAAAATTTGAATTAGTGTAACGACAACAAATATTATTCTATTTTATTTATGTTCGGACCTGAAGAGGAGAAATTATTGAAAAGAATATTTCTTCGTTCAGATTGACTTTTAATTCATTTAGGAAACAGAAAGATTGGGCGAAGAAATATTTACTTTCCAATTAGATCCTCATCTCACTCTGGCTCTACTCTAATATACACCTATAGCACTTTTTATTACAATACACAACAGTTTACCAATCAAGTGGCACTGATATCTTTGTTAACAATAATTAGTCAGTGTCAACATGTCAATGGGTTGATGATTAACGAAGACAATCAGTACACACATTTAAAAGGTAGAAATGGTTAGAGTAAATTAATTTTACAAGGATAACACGCAATTAAAGATGAAGTCAGAAAAATAAAATAATTTGGACAATTAGGATTTTTACCATTTTTAAAGGTTTAGGGGGAGGGGGGCGAAGTAGTCCGGTTTATGCATTCATGTAACAATGGCCACGGTAAGGAAAGTGGCTGTACAAATTTCTTCTGAACACGCACAGGTTTGGCTTCTTCTTCAGGTGGATTCCTATTGCTTCAGCTGTCGTATGTAGAAGACGAACTCGTAGAGCAAAATTAAGATCAGTCGGAATGCGATAAATAATTTTAAATGCAGTATTAACGTCAACCTTATGCTCAGTATCAACAAGGTGTGCTAAAATAGAGCTACGAATAGATCTTGTTTGTCCCTTGCTTAACCACGCTGGATGATGTTTGGAAATACGGTGATGAAGCTGCCTAATTGTACACCCGATGTAGCTGGCTCTGCAGCTGCAGTCAAACTGGTAGATACACACAGAAGAGGCAAATTTAGGTAGTTTATCCTTATTTCTCGAACATAGAATAGGAGTGGTTGTGAAGAGACAACGTAAAATATTGAAAAGTAAATATTTCTTCGCTCAATCTTTCTGTTTTCTAAATATCTAAATGGGGATTTCTTCTATATTTTAATTCATTGATATGCAGATATATTATTTCATATTATTAAATTTAATATGTAACTTAGAGTTTGTTTGGAAAACACAAAAGATTGAGCGAAGAAATATTTACTTTTCAATTAGATCCTCTTCTCTGGCTCTACTCTAATATATATAGCATTTTTTACATTACACAACAATTTACCAATCAAGTGGCACTGATATGTTTGTTAACAATAATTAAACAGTGTCAAAATGTCAATGGGTTGATAATTAACAAAGAAAATCAATACACATTTAAAAGGTAGAAATGGATAGAATAAATTAATTTTACAAGAATGACACGTAATTAAAGATGAAGTGGTCAAAATAAAAATAAAATAATTTGGACAATTATAATTTAATAGGGGGACATTGACATTTTGACACTGTTTAAATATTGTTAACAAACATATCACCACTTGATTGGTAAATTGGTGTGTATTGTAATAAAAATGCAATGTATATATTAGAGTAAAGCCAGAATGAGATGAGGATCTAATTGAAAAGTAAATATTTCTTCGCTCAATCTTTTGTGTTTTCCAAATGTCTAAATGGGGATATTTTCTATATTAGAGTTTGTTCACATTTCGCATTTACTACCATTATTATTATTATTATCATTATCATTATTATCGTTATTATTATTATTTCAGTTTCAACTTTGCCTACAATGACTAACCGTCATCTGTTGAACGTTGTAAGATCAGAACAAACGTGTGTGCGTACCTGCGCGAAAGAGGGCAAGAGTGCAGAGACAGACAATGTGAAGACACAGTATAAGACTGACGTAGCCTAAATGGCTTAAACTGATGTTATTTTCTTTTTATTATTATTATTATTACTATTATTATTATTATTATTATTATTATTATTATTATTATTATTATTATTATTATTATTGCCGTTGTTGCTGTTATCACACACTGTATGGATAAAATCGAATTATTCGATCAGCCCAAGTTATTGTCCACTGTTCTTATAAACCTACTTGTTTATTGGTCTGTTAATTATAATAATAATAGTAATATTAATAATAATTATTATTACTATAATCCCTATTATTATTGTATTATAGTATATTTTATATCAATCAATAAGTATGTACATATATATATGTATGAATATTCGGTGCGTGCGTGTATGTGTGTGTGTATAGGCGTCATGTGCGCATTTGTGTGTATATCCGTGTATGTGTATATCTATCTATTCTTCAGGCTTTGAAATGTACATATATGACTGACTTTATTGTTTGTTCGTTTGTTTGTCTGTCTGTCTGTCTATTAACGAATTTGGTTGTAAATGCCCTGCGTCATTTACTTCATTTTATTTTTGTCTTTTTTTAATAAAAAAATAATTTCAATTTCTCCGTCTTGTTCTTTTTCAATCCCAGAATGAATAGTACTATTAAGCAATTTATTACCAATTGGTGCTTATTCCTCCTTGTGTGTGTGTGTGTGTTTGCCCAGTTTATGACTGGGATTGCAATTTCCACTTCGTACCTACCCACCTACCTGCCTATCCTACCTACACTACAATGTAGTGTTTGTTTGTGAGGGATTTAAAATAGGCTTCGTTCCTCTCTCTTGAGTACAAAAGAAATTTAGGTCAGAGCCTCAACCATCACAGGGTTAGAGGTATGCGCTCAGAAGAGGTAATTGAAGATGAATTAAGCATTGTATATGATACTTTGATTGACTGAAAATAGCTATCCAGACAAATTTATCAAGAAACACATGACAAAGAAAGCCAAAAAGGACTACTCACTATCCGTGAACAAGAAGCCTCTTTATATATGACTGCAATTAAAGGGTGGTATAACTAGCGAAATAATTACGAAGAAGGTGAGAAAATCAGTCCAAAAGAACTTTTAATGCTTGCAGACTATAAGTCTTATTGTCTACACGACCGATGGTGATTCCTCGATTGAAAGATGAAGTCACTAGACTAAACTAGCCACTTCCACTTGTATCTAACAATCCAACTGCGCTTGTAGTGGAGCAAGTTATATTGGCCGTTGCTTTAGGAACTTGATTTGTCGTGCTCGCTCGAGAACATCTTCCACTATGACTAAGTAAAGGTGTAGTGAAAACCATCAACAGTTAGATATTAAGCGACCTGGTCCAAAGTGGACCAGCATTGAAGAATCCTTCTCTATCATCTATCGGGTACCGAATAAATTGCCAAAAATATCGAGGTATTGCATGCTCCAATTCGCGTGAAACAACCAGTGCTTTGTGTGCATAAGAAATAAGTCCAGCTAGCCACTACTACTCCCCTGGCGTGCCTTCAGTAGAGACTATAAATTCATGAATTTGTATTACTATCTTTCCTAATTTTTCTGACATTCAGTTTATTGTTATGTGGATGCTATTGAACTGTAATCTATCAATATTATTGATTCGATGCTACTTAAAACAACATTAATGTTGTTGTTAATAACACTAATTCATTCATTCATTCACTATAATGTGTATATATAACTGTAGAACCTGATGATGAAGTTATCGAAAAGAGCATTCTTTGTTGGGTAACCATTCTTTTGGTAATTTTTTTTACCGTGGGCTGATTACATCATCAGTTAGAGAGTCTGGATCTCTTCAGCCATATGCACACAGCTCACCTCTGATATTGACCATTAATACACTTGTAGTTGCATGCCAACAAATTTACCACCTAGTCAGTCGATTTGCGATCCTGTTGGTTCTAACGAATATTAGTAACAACATCAAAACGATACGATACCACCGAAGGTGCGACACAAGAAGAGAAGACTCACTGTTGACGTAGTGAGCTTTTACTGCCACGTATCAACAGCGAAAATGATTGACAGTGCTTGCGTATTTATATGCTTTAAATGATCATGACAGATACTAATTACATTGATAAATTCAAATAGTCAATAGCCAATAGGATTTCAAGGTCATAAGTGGGGTGAGAGAAAAGCAACGAGACATGTATAAGTATCGGGGGGGGGTGAACCCAGGCTATGAATAGCCTGTCAATCACTGGAATACGGGAATCCCCCAAAGTTCAGCTGATGAATTCTAACTTCTGTCAATTTGTAATATGAAAAAGAGAAGACGTTCAGCGAAGAGACTCTTTTTGGCGATCGCATATATATACAATTATTTGTGTGTGTGTGTGTGTAAATGAGGCTTGTCAAGTTTAGATAATTAATTGGGTAATACAAGAATGACCTAATATAGAAACAAGGTTAATCAGACAGCAACTAAAGTAAGATTGAGTTAGTAAGTTAGGTGACCTAATATAATTGACTAAAATGTTTCAGCTTAGGTCAGGGTAGCAACAGAGGTAATTACAGGTAGAGACTAAATGGAAGTGGGGGAGAGAATAATTTCATTTAAATTAAAACGGAAATTGAGGAAATAATTTGGATGACGTAACATAAATGACTAGAAATTAAGCGTTGATCAAGTCAGCAACAGTGGTAGTGAGGTGCAGAAATTAAATCGGGCGGGGGTAGAGAATAAGAAGGTTGAAATGTAAAATATTACAATTGAGAAGACAAAATAATACTAATGAAGAGATAGAAAAAAAGATTGAGCAGAATTTACCTGTCGGGTAATAAGATGGATTACGTCCATTGTAAGTGTAGTGATTGAACGAACTTCTTTTGTATGCAGAGTCCAGGACTTAGCAAGTGAATCGCCATTGCTTCTGCAGTTTGAAGAAGTCTGATTCGTACACCTTTAGGAAGACTACTTCATAGACGACTTTGAAGTTTGTTTGGGGTGCAGCTTGGTGTCCGGAATCTATTAGATGTCCTAAGATGGAGCTGCGGGGCATCGATTTTCTCCTTTGTAAAACCATGTTGGTAAGTGTTCGGTGATACGTTTGGGAAGCAAACGCTGCGTACGGCCGACATACCTGGCTCCACACGAGCAGGTGAATTGATAAATACACACTGATGAGGCCAGCAGTGGTAGCTTATCCTTCACGTTCACATGAATCATAGGTTTTGTGGAGAAGGTTAGTCGTCGTAGTTCAGCTGTGAAGAAGGTCTTCTTGAGTGAGCGCGACAGTCGATTTTTTTTAGTGTTTCCGCAGATATATCTCCATTGAATTGAAGGTTCATGTAAAGTAGTTTCTTCGGGACGCTAATCACGGGTGGCTTTTGTGGTCTAGGATTCATAGATTTTGCAATAAATAGTTCTGGATAACAATTCTCTAGAGATTGTCCATGGTGTCCGGGATAATATTATAGGGAAATATTATTATTATTATATAGGGAAATCGTCATCAAGCACGGTATCTGTACCCTCACACACACACAGATTTGTGCGATTTTCATACATGACTTTCGGATTTAATAACATCCAATTATAGGCAACAGTTGTTAGTTGTTTGGTAGGTGTGTCTGATGTGGCTGGCATTAAGAAGAAAAAAAGTTCAGCGGAAAGTCTCTGTTCGACGAATTCACTCATTCACCTGTACAACTGCATTTATATTTAATTCCCTTTTTTGTACATGTGTATACATTAGGTTTGTCAAACAAGAATATTGAAATTAGTTAGGGTGGTAGCTTACGTCATCAAAATGTGATGAATAATCAATTTGTAACTAGGGTGGGTGGGTGGTTGAAAACTAGTAAATACTGACTAGGGTTAAGTAATATGAAAGACAACCAGAAAACAGAAATTTGAACAAAGCAAGAACTACAGTTTTAGCAGAATAAAATGGTACCACCTTTTATTTCGTTGCCTTCTCGTCAGCTGGTTACAGGCCAAAGACATTATTTAATGTATCTACAAAAAACAATTTTAACATACCTGCACAGAGTTCATTTTAAACAAAAATCAATCAATATATGCATGCAGTAATTATATATATATATATATATGTTTGTTAACAATAATTAGTCAGTGTCAACATGTCAAACGGGAGTGATAATTAACGAAGAAAATTAATACACACAATTAAAAGGTAGAAATGGATAGAATAAATTAATTTTACAAGAATAACACGTAATTAAAGATGAAGTGGTCAAAATAAAATTAAGATAATTTGGACAATTATAATTTTTAAAGGTTTAGGGGGAGGTGGGCGAAGTAGTCCGGTTTATACAATCATGTAACGATGGCCAAGGTAAGGAAAGTGGTTGCACACATTTCTTCTGAACACACAGGTTTGGCTGGCTTCTTCAGGTGGATTCCTATTGCTTTAGCTGTCGTATGTAGAAGACGAACTCGTAGAGCAAAATTAAGATTAGTCAGAATGCGATAAATAATTTTAAATGCAGTATTCACATCAACCTTATGCTCAGTATCAACCAGGTGTGCTACAATAGAGGTACGAATAGATCTTGTTTGTCTCTTGTTGAACCATGATGGATGATGCTCGGAAATACGATGATGAAGCTGCCTAATTGTATGCCCTTTTTGCTGGCTCCATGAATACCCGTAGTCTCATCATACCACCTCTTCCACTTCACCTAAGGATCCATGCTCTATTCGGCCTTTCCCATTCGGGTTCCACTTGAAGGCCTGGTTCGTGATATCACTCAATGGTCTCCTAAGCATGTGTCCGACCTATCTGCATTTACTTCGGGATATTCGCTGGGTGACAGATTCTTGGTGAGTTCTTTAACAACCAGAGGGACTTACTGCAGAACCTTCTGGCAATCTTATCTTCAGTATCAAGCGAAATGCGTAGCTGTTGATAAAAGTTTGAAGCCTGTTCGAAGTGCTTTTCGTGACGCACTCGTCAAGTTTCTGAACCATCTAGAGGCACTGATTTGAAACTCTACTCGTCGACCAGAGTATTAGCTGACATACGATTAGGTTGGAAAAGAGTTAGAAATGTTCAACTCAAAACATGCAGTCGACCTATAAAGTCTTTAACAGTTGGTTTCAGCCTGACTGGTGCGTCGGTGATTCAGC